TTCAAACCCACCAGCCACTCCTCGGAAGGAAGGTTGGGCAATCCTACTTCCGTAGTGATACTGCCTCGGAAACCCAAGGAGGGGTCTCTATGAGTAGGGGCCGACTCGACGGCACATAACAACAACAACAACAACAACATCCCCACTCTGGTCTTTGGCTCCAGATACTCAGAGGTTCAGAAGGGGGACTGGAAGCCGGGAAAGGAGGGGTTTGGAGGCTGAGACTCCGTGCTTTGCCAGGCCGATGTGTCTCAGGCTAGCACATCGCGCTTCCCGATATGTTTGAGAAACGCACTGGGACAGGCGTAATGATAATTAACGCTTGAGGCGCGATTTGTCCTCAAGGGCTTTACAAACATGACATAATTAACCCGAGGGGAGGAGCGCTGTCACTTAAACACTCAGCTCTATTCATTTCTTTACCATCTGGACCCGCCTGTGCGAAGTGTAGCGGGGAGAACGCACGAATTGGGGCGAATTGGGCGTCATCTGGACTGACAGTGTCACTCGGTGCGGTCCACACGCCCCTAATGACTCCACAAGAAATTAGCAGGGATCATTTATCAAGTTACAGACGTCATAGCATACAGATTGGGAAAGGAAACCCGTAGAAATTCCCTGCTTGTATTTCCCTTCAGTTTTGGACCAAACTTCTCCTGAAAGACTTTGCGGTTCTCCAACCTATTGGCTCTTTTCGAAATCCAGCGCCAGGCTCTCCTGGCCAATGACACTGAGGCAGACGCCGGGCCCCCTGGAAATGCTCCGCCCTTTCGCAGGAGGTGTGCGGGGCGGGGCTCACACGCATGCTCCGTTCCCGCGGGCCCATTGGCGCGGCCGCCGCGCGCGTGCGCAAGAATCGAAGGGTGCCGGGACGCGGAAGACCTGTGGCCCTGGGGAGGTTCTTGCTTCTGAAGAGTGAGAGGCAGAGGAGGCGGCAGGTTGTAGATTTTGGTTTTGGCCCCAAAGGGTTTCCCTGGGCCATTAGAATCCGAGAGAGGAAGAGGAGGCACTGCGGCGGCGGCTGAGGGGCCAAGCTCCTAACTATCCTTTAGCGGGAGGGCAGAGGGAGGGGAGAAGCACTGATCCCCGACTGAGGATCCTTCGGGACCGAGTATCCCCGGTCAAGAACCCCGATCATGGGGGGCAGGACCCGGTCCCACAGCATGGGGGGCTGGAGCCGCCGGGAATGCCCGGCTGGGCCCTCCCGGACTGCCAGCCCCTCCGCGCTAGCGCTGCTCTGGCATCTGAGGCGCGTGTAGCCTGGCCCACTGGTGGTCGATGGCCGGCAATATAGCAGCATGAGTTCTCTTGCTGCCTAGTTCCCACCCCTTCCGTCTCCCCTGCCTCAGTCCTGCTCTTTCTCCTTCCTCTGTCCTCTTTTCCACACCTAGTCCTTCCTCACTTCTTCTTCTTCCCCTCTGACCAATCCTTTCTATCCTGCTTTTCCATCTATTCTTTTTCCCCTTCTTTCTCTTTTCTCGCCTCCCTCCATCCTTCTGGTCCTCCTGCCGTTCATCTCTTCCCACCATCCTCTTCCTTCATTCTGTTAACCCCCACCACCTGCTCCTTATCCTCCCTCTCCCTCCTGCATTCTCCTGCCTTCCTCATCTTCCTCCTCTTTCCCTCCTCCTCCTTTTCCCCTTTTCTCCGCCCCAGTCTCCGCCCTCAAGCCTCCGCCCCTTAGCCCCCGCCCCCAGCTGCCTGTCCCCAGTAGCTCAGTCCTGTAGTGAGAGTCTTGGGAGTCCATAGCACCAGGAGCTGAGCACTGTCCACTGTGCCTGCCTGCAAGTTCCAGACATGGCTCAGGAGAAAATGGAGCTGGACTTTGAGCCTGACACATCTGATGGGGGCACCCTGAGGAGATCCAGCAGCGCTCCCCTGATCCATGGGCTCAGGTGAGCAGGGTTGGGGAGGATGGAGTGAAGGCTTGGGGGGCTCCTTGGCACCGGGCAAGCAGCCTTCCTTCCCTAAAGTGAGAGCTGGAGCTCATTTGGGTTCTCCAAACTGAGGGAGTGGGGGCTTGTTTGCTTCACGGTGACTTCGGTCCCAAGGTGGGGTGAAAGTTTGACCCCAAACTCTGGGCAGTGAGGGGAGAAAAAGACCCTTTACCAGAAGCTCTGGTCCCACTCTAAAAGGGACTTCAGAAAACTGCTGGCTCTGCTGACATGTTGCTTGTCCTGCCTAATTGACACCACCAAACGTCATACTGAAGCCCCTGGAACTGGGCTTGCAACTTGACACCTGTCCTTAAGAGCTGCTATTTCTAAGCTTGGTTTAGGAACCCTGGCCTTAACAGAGATTTATTTTAATAAATCAGAATTGATCTAATAACTCGTTATTAAACTGTGTATTCTTGTCATATGAAATGATTTCGATTTGTTCTCATATTTTCAGATTCATTTTAGCCAATGAACATTTTTAAAAATTTGGCATGTAGCTTAGGTCTGTGAAAACACAGGTTTTGGAAAACACTGGAAATAATCGACTCTTGATTTTTTATTGGCAGTGTCTCGTGTATTGCTGTGAATAATTCATCAGAGGGTCTATTTTAAGGGAGAATCTTGTGATGATTAAGGGTAGGTGGGCTCAGCTCCTGAGCTGATTGCATTTCACTTGTATAAATAGACAGTAGGAGCTCTGGTGGCATAGTGCCTAAGGCACTTGACTGCTAACCAGAAGGCTGGCGGTTCAAACCCACCAGCCACTCCTCGGAAGGAAGGTTGGGCAATCCTACTTCCGTAGTGATACTGCCTCGGAAACCCAAGGAGGGGTCGCTATGAGTCGGGGCCGACTTGACGGCAAATAACAACAACAACAACAACAACAAATAGACAGTTTCATCTTTGGTAGAGCAACCAGTTTGGGAGACTCTAGAGATGGATTTAATCCAAAAGAAGTGACAGGGCCAGAATTAGCCCCCAACATGTTAATCAAGCTGTGAAGGCACAGAAAGAACCAATCCTTGGGTACTGAACTGGTTATAAAATCTCCATTTTTTGGGGAAAAAATTAATATTTTTCTTTGATTAAACACCTTTTGAAACTGAGGGGATGGGTGAGTGATTCTTTTGCTTTCCTAAAACTGCATGGATTTTTTATACTCTAGGAATAAACTGGTCTTTTTGTTGTCTTTTAAAATCTGATGATCAAGCAATTGTTTGGCACCTGGGTGATCCTTTTGACTTACATTTGGGCAATTCTAAAAATATACTGTTTTTTTGGAATGATGATTTAATTAGTTGCCTGAAGATAGCATGATGTGACAGACAGGCCAGACCTCATCCCACTTTTCTCACTAACTAGGTACGATCATGAAGGAATCACTTAACCTCTCTGAGTCTCAGTTTTCTCACTAAAAAGTCAGGAGGGCTGAGGTAGGTGATCTTGAAACCCGATCCAGTTCGGTTCTGAAAATCCTTGAACGCTTATCATGGACTTGACATTCTGCTAGGCACTGCAGGATCATTATACAAAGATGAGCAAAACGCCTCTGCTTGGAGGGATGTAAGATGCATGTCCATTTTCCTTAGTAAAAGGTAAAGTTTGGTAGGTGTCTCAAGGAGCATCTCCTGTCCCACTGTGCTGTATGGGTTGAGAGATTGCGTTAGGTATGCGGGATGCAGAAAGGCATTATGGAGGGCATGGCCTTTGAGATGGGCCTTGAAGGAGAGGAAGGGTTTTGACAGATGGTGGTAGGAAGGAGTGCAGCTGAGGCAGAAGGGGCAACAGGTATGTTTTTCAGTTGAACAATGGGCTTCAAAGGTACAACACATGTTGAGGGCAGGCAATAATGGGAGGTGTGCTGATAGGGGTCTCAGGTCATGGCACACACGCATTTAAAAGAGAATATTTGTGAGTCCCACGGGGTAGACAGATGAGGCTGCCCATGTCTGGTGAGAACCGATTTAGGGGCGTGAGCTCAGACCAGAGGTGACTGGAGGCAACTAGTCAAGAGCTCCGCCTCATACCTTTCCCTGCGGGGCTGCCCCCCCTCCCCAGCTGAGGAGATCAGTATCTTGGCAAACCTGTAATCCACAGCACACCAGTGGGGAAGCCTGTGAAGAGAGGGATGAGGAGTTTGTTCATTGTACGAAAGGAGGAGCCATTGAGTTGTTAGAAAATTGATGTTAATATAGTTGCCAGATAAATGAGAAGACATTAACAATTTCATTTTTCTTTTCCAGTGACCTTTCCCAGGTTTTTCAGCCACACACATTTAGAACTCGGAGGAACAGTACAACGATTATGAGCCGTCCCAGCTTGGTAAGTATAGAAGTAGGTATCTAAGAGGTTTGGGTAGGGGAAAACCACTTCAAATGATGGTTTCTTAAAATTAGGTGCTGTGCATAATTGTTTAAAGAAAAAAAGGCTTATTTTCCCTATCTTCTTTACTGCTCCACTGTGGTCATTTTCAGCTTTTGGTACGAAAAGGTGACCTGGATAATTTTTTTTTTGCTGTGAGACTTTGTATTTTAAAAAGTTGTTCATTGTTATTTATTTTATTTTATTTTATTTTATTGCACATGGTTGTGAGGTAAGTCAGGATTAGCTTCTAATTGTAGCTGAGAACAGTAGGTCATCTTTGGCCTCTGCAAAAAACCCCTTTTTTTACTTACTTGTATTTACTGTGACTTGACTCCTGGATAGTGCTGTTTTTTTCAAAGCAAAGACTCTCTTAAATGCTTGTATTTCTAGACTCCACAGAGTTGCCAGATTTGACTGTTTGATTAAGCCAGAACTGTCAGGGATCACCTTATTAGTTGGTTGTGTTAGAAGAAGTTAGGACGAAGTTTTTTTTTATAGTGGTGGTTCCCGTATGTGGAGCTTGCTTATCCAATAGCTCCATTTGCCTGGAAGACATCAGAGATGGAAGCAAAACAGACCTGTCAATGGCTGAATAAGATTTCACCACCATCTGTGCACAGAGGTTCATCCCTTTCTTTATACAAGAGACTCTCTGAACTCTGAATCTTCACAAATTTCCATACAATTATAATATACGCAACCCAACAGTATATGAGGAGCAGCAAGTCAAAAGGGGACCATTTGGGTTAAAGTTATACTAATAGCAGAGAGCAGAGGAGGAGAGGGAAAAACAGAGAGGTTTGAAAAAAAATTACTCTGGAGCAGCTTGGTGTAAGGACAAAAACCCTGTTAATAGAACGTGAGGGTGTTACTCATAAAATCCTCTGCCATCGAGTTGATTGGGACTCATAGCCACCCTGTAGGACAGAGTAGAACTGTCCCATGAAGCTTCCAAGGCTGTCAGCCTTTATGGAATCTGACTGCCTTATCTTTCTCCTGCAGAGAAGCTGGTGGGTTCGAAGTGCTGACTTTTCGGTTAGCAGCTGAGCTTAACCAGTGTACCACCATGGATCCTATCACTAGTATAGAATAGTATAATAATTTATGGTCTTAAGGAGACCTGGGTCATTAACCTCATCTTAACTTATTGTGATCCCTACATTTGTACAGTATATTACACATTACAAAGTACTTTTATACATTTATGGCTTATACATGACAACCTCTGTGAGGTAGGCAGGGCAAAGATAGTTTTCCTACCTAAAAGCAGCAGCAGCTAGAACCCCAATGATATAAGTGGCTTGCTTGGAGTCACACAATTAGTTAATGGCAGAGCTGGAATTAGAATAGAGATCCTTCAGTGCCATCCTGTGTGGTATAATCTGTTTAAGAAAGGGAAAAATGTAACACCTTTTAGAAAGATTTCCAGCTGAAGTGATTAAAAATATGTATAGGGGAAGAGTTAGTTATCTCGAGGTTTGATTTGCTCACTTTACCTCTTTTCCCAAGAATACTAGAAAATATGGTAACTGTACTCTGTATATAAAAAACGTTTATAAGGGTTACAGCTTCGTGCCTAGTATCAATAGCATCGCAGAGAATAGAAAAAAAAATCTGCCTCTTTCCACTTCACTGTCCTCATTTGTGAGATGTGGAGATTCTTACCAACTCCAGTCCCAGCCCATCTCTTTCTCCGTGATAAATATTCTGCTCTGGCTGCAGTAAAATACCGGTTTTCAGAAGGGGTCATGTTAATTCCCTGCTCTGTGTCAATCCTTATGCTTGCCTTCACCCCATCCCCTTCCCCTTTCTAGCTTTCTGAACCTTCAAAACTCAGTTAAATCTCCTTTGGCAAGCCTTCCATGGCACCCTTTTGGTTACTTCTGTCATTTGTATATGAGTCCCTGGGCGGCACAAATGATTAAGCTCTTGACGACTACCCAAAAGGTTGGTCATTCCATCCTACCCAGATTAGCCTCAGAAGAATGGCTTGGCGATTTATTTCCAAAGAGTCACAGCACTGAAAACTCTGCTGAGCAGCTCTAGTCTGCACACACAGGGTCCCATGAGCTGGAATTGACTAGCCGACAACTGACAACAACAACAATCGTTTGTATATATTAGACTACAGTGTACATAGAAATCTTGCTGCACTTATTTGCATCCCATAGTAATCTGCAAAAAGTAAGATAATGGCAAATTAAATGGAAAGGAGGGAATGGATGAAAATGACATGCAGATTTGACGGCTGATTAGACAAGCGAAATTGGCAGTGTGAAGGGAACACATGTGGCACTCAAGGTGCCACTGGCCCCGTGCTGTTGTCCAGAGCAATATCTAAATCTCCTTTTTTTCCCTGCAAGTTTCCTGTCTCACCACTTTTCATTCTCACTAGCTGACCCCTGCTTCTCACTTCATAGAAAAGGCAGACAGACACCTACCTTGCATGAACTTTCGCTTTCTTCTCCTTCAAATGTCTCTACCTTCAGGCATGGTGCTTTTCTGTCTCTTCTCTACTTTGCATCTTCAGTCTTTGTTCCTCTCACCTTCTCCTAGCTCACACACCTAACATTCAGAAAACAAACTTTTTTCTTCTCATAGGTCTTTCCTTTCCCTTTTTCCCTTCCTCTCTGGGAGCTTTTCCAAAGCATCATCTACACTTGACAACTGTTAACTCCTTGTCTCCCAGGTTCTTACCAGCTCTTCAGCCAATTTGTCATCTCGCTACTCCTCCCACAACTCAATTAAAAGACTGTTCTTGGAAAAGTCCCCAATGGCCACCGAATTACCAGGGTTAGGTACCTCCTTGCTTATTTCACTTGAGCGCTTTGCTTTCCTTAATAACGTTAACCGGCACCTCTTTTAAATCCTTTGGTGGTTTTTCAGCCCACCCATCACTCTCTTGCTTCTGGTACTTACTACGCATAGTTTTGCTGCTCTGCCCCTCTCTGGTCTACTTTCTAGTTTTGCCTAAAATTGACAAGTTGTATATCAGGTAGATACAGGTTCAAAATTTCTGATTTTTCTCTGCCATCACTGTTTGTCAATCCTTATTTTGACTCTCCTAATTATTTTGGCATTCCTTTTGTTCTCTATAGGAGCGCTAGTGGCATAGTGGTTAAGGCATTTAGGTGCTAACTGAAAGGGCAGTGGTTTGAACCTACCAGCTGCTCCATGGGAGAAAGATGAGGCAGTCTGCTTCTGTAAAGATATACAGCCTTGGAAACCCTATGGGGCAGTTTTACTCTGTCCTAAAAGGTCGCTATGAGTCAGAATTGATTTAATGGCAGTGCTTTTTGTTGTTGTTGTTTTCTCTTGCACAGTGGTTAAGGCATTTGGCTACTAACTGAAAGGTCGGCGGTTTGAACCCACCAACCATTCCATGGGAGGAAGATGTGGCAGTCTGCTTTCATAAAGATTTATAGCCTTGGAAACCCTATGAGGCAGTTCTTCTGTTCTGTCCTATAGGGTCTCTGTGAGTTGGAATCCATCCATGGCAGTGGATTTGGTGTCTTTGGTTTGTTCTCTGTCAGCCTGATACATCCATGCTTTCTTTCACAGCTTCCTGTTAGACAGCTTTCCCTGCTTTATTTACTTGCCTAAGGGTTTAGGAGCTCTAGTGGTGTGTAGTGCCTAAGGCATTTGACTGCTAACCAGAAGGCTGGTGGTTCAAACCCACCAGCTGCTTCTCAGAAGGAAGACTGGGCAATCTACTTCTGTACAGATACCGCCTCGGAAACCCACGGAGGGATTGCTATGAGTCGGAATAGATTTGTTGGCAGTGAGTTTTTAATGGTTTAGAATTTTCAAATGACCTTATTAACAGTTTACCAGTAAACAAGAATTACTTTCATAATGAGGGGGAAAAAAGGCTTTTTATAAGGATTTACTGGTAGTTTCCCTTTTCAAAGCTTAGGAGAGAGAAAAATAAAAGGGGCTGGTAATGAGGGGTTATTTTTTGAGGTGAAATCCTATTTTAGTGGCTAACTTCTAAAGCTTTTGCCTGAATTAGATTTGACCTTAAAATGTTATACTAGCTTAAGGTTGGGCAATCTACTTCCACAGTGATACCACCTCGGAAATTACATTTGTATTCAGAAAAGTTTTAATAGCATAAGACCTCTTGTGATAGGATAGTTATCTACTTATATAGTATTACGAACTCTCTTGTATCTCATTAGGGAATGAATAGTGGTTGTTTACATTCTGACTGTTAGAACACTGTAAGATCTGTGGAGAGGAAGTATACTGTACATTGTGTGAACAGATTGTGATTATTTTGAAGGAGTATAATTAGACCATTTCAAAAAAATTATTTAAAAAATAGGTTTTAAAAATGACAATCGGAAGGAAGATGGGGCAATCTCTTTCCGTAGTGATACCACCTTGGAAACCCAAGGAGGGGTCGCTATGAGTTGGGTCTGACTCGACGGCACATGATACACACACACACAAGGGAAAGCAACATCTATTTTCTAAAGTTACACCTTGCCTTTGCCCCGAGTTTATTTTTAACTAGTAAGGTTTGTGGTAATAGATTTAGTGATCAAATTTTAGAATGGCTTCAGATTATGTAAGCAAAATTCTCTTTGTTGCAATTTTCAGGTGTTTGAGGGACATACTAATTCTAGACAAAACACTATACTGGGCTTATTAGCCCATTTTCCCCCATTGGTGTGTTGGTAATAAAAATGAAACATTTTTATTAAAAAAAAAACAAAAAACCAGCATTGTTTTACTTTGCCGTCTGTTTTAGACAAGGGGGGTAATGGGTATTTCCAAGGCAGAGAGTCTTTTTATTCTTTTTATATAAATGTATACAGCTCTGCATTCATTTGGGAAAAGTGCTAAAGTCAGTGCCTGTCTAGCGACAGATGGTGCTCTGAGGTTGGACACCTGGTGTACTTTCTAAAGACTGAGTGTGTTGCCTCTAACGCATTAGCATTCAGTGATGTAAAAAGCAACTTCCTAGGAAGAATATGAAACGTATCTAGGAATAGGCTGTACACCAGGACCGGCAGCAGACTGTTGCTTTGTGATTCAGAAAACAGTAAACGTTTACTTTTTTTTCCCAGTTGCTGTCATCCTCACCTAATCGTATTCCTAGTAGCATACTGCATCAAATCAAAAGGGTAAATTTTCCTTACTAGCTCAGATCTAAACATTTTCTGGATGTTTACATTTTGATTTTATTTTCACTTAGAAGATTTAGATAGTAAAAATGAGTCCGGTTGCAGCTCTGGTTAGTTGTAGACAGGTCTTCCGGGTGGGCAGATAAAATACAGATGTGGCATGGGTGGCGATCTTAGAATGTCAAGTCTGCTGTATTGCGCCGTGTCAAATGAGGTAGAAAAACCTTTTAATTTTGTTTGCAGTAGAGAAATGTGTGGGTAAATATTAGATTTTCAGCTCATGTTGTCTTTGCAGGAAGAAGGAGTGGATATAATGAACAGAGAGACTGCACGTGAAAGGTTAGTGCTTCATGAGAATGGAACAGAGATAGCCTTATGTGTCTTGCTTGTAAGCACTGATAGCATTTCATTTTGTTTTAGGGAAGTGCAAACAGCAATGCAGATAACCCAATCATGGGATGAGAGCTTGAGCCTGGTAAGGTTTCTTACATCTGTTTGCTTTTTATCTTCTAGAAACCTGTACTTTGCTCGTTGGCTTCATTTTCCATGTACTCCTGTACTGTCTGCTTCCAAATTTGCATTTGTTTCTGATCTCTGCTTTTCCAGCAGAATGGTAGGGTGTAACTTTCTAGCCGATATGCTTCTGCTCTAAAAACGTAGGATTGTTGTAGTAATAAGAGCTGTGATGTGCTGAATTGTTATGAGGAGATAACTGTTTACATTTACAGAGTGATAGTGATATTGACAAGCCAGAGAAATTATATTGTCCTAAGAGAATCGATTTCACTCCAGTTTCTCCAGCACCGTCACCCACCAGAGGATTTGGAAAGGTAGGATCCTGGACGCAAGAGTAACTCTCTTTCACCTGTTGAGCTCTTTCCTTTCCAGAAACATCTCCCCCTGTCCACACACACTTAAATAATTCAATGACTTGAAAGAAAATTAATGAAAATCTATGATAGTACTTTAGAAATATATATATAAGACCCACACACAGCTAATAAGTAATTCTGAGTACTTTGTCATTTCGAAATCTTGTAAAAACTGGAATAATAGAACTATTTCAATACTGTTATTTTTTTGTAGCACCGTTTTTCACCATCCTTACAAATGTTTGTGAGTAGCAGTGGATTAGCGCCAAGTCCTATTCCTAATGCCAGACAATTGTCGAGGTATGTGAATTGGAATTCTAAATGTAGTTTAAGTGCCATTCATTACATTTGTCTATAGATTAACATTTTCCCCAACATTTTATTATGGAGATGTAGTGCTGATTGATATCCAGAGGGGAAATGTGTACCTGCACATACATGATAATTAATCCTTACTAGGATTAGGAAATTTTTTTAACATTCTATATCAGTCAGAATCCAAATAACTTTTCAGTAAGGTATAATTTTTTAAAATCATCATGGGCATTTTGTTTCATTATGACTAAAATAAATTGCTTAACCCCAAACCCCCTGCCATCAAGTCGATTCCAACTCATAGTGACCCTATAGGACAGAGTAGAATTGCCCCATAGGGTTTCCAAGGCTGTAAATCTTTATGGAAGCTGACAGCCTCATCTCTCTTCTATGGAGTAGCTGGTAAATTGCTTGAAGTGCCGTATTATTCCAAATTGCTATTTTTAAAAAAAAAAAACCTAGACTCACTGCTGTTGAGTTGATTCCAACTACTCATGACGACCCCTCCTTGGGTTTCCAAAGTGGTATTTCAACGGAAGTAAATTGCCTAGTCTCCCTTCAGGGAGTGGCTGGTGGGTTTGAACTGCCAGCCTTCTGGTTAGCAGTCAAATGCCTTAGGCACTATGCCACCAGAGCTCCTTTCAAATTACTGTAGACCAAAATTGCTATAGACCAAGTCAAATCATGTATTGGCATTTCAGATACTCAGCTCACAACGCCAGCATTTTCCTTTCTTCCCTGCATGATATCAGCTTTACTTGTTTATCTTTGTTTGATGAGCTGTCACACCATTTCTTTCTTATCTTGGAAGTACTTCAAGTCATCTTCTTTATTTCTTCATTTAAGCAGGCGGAGTCAAAGTCCAGTCAAGTGCATTAGGCCCAGTGTCCTTGGTCCTCTTAAAAGAAAAGGTATGCTTCACACTTTTGATATTAAATTGACTCGTTATCTGATATTAGCTATATCTTTTTTCAAAAATTCATATTATCAATATGTATTCCAAAAATATTGCCTGTCAGTGATTCAAATGTATAAGAAATACATGGTTGATATACTGCAGAAATACATACTTCTGTCATAGCAAGTAGAACTATAAACATGCTGTATACTCAATATGCAATGAGGTTCACCCCACCCACCACCAAATTACTCCTGATACTCAAGTCTCTGTAGTGTCTTTGATGTAACAGAGTGCTCTCTTAATTCCCTTATTTTGAACCACAAAGCATTAAACTAAAATGATCTCAATCAATGCTGGGTTTACATACTTATAGATGGCACTTGATAGAATCTGTTTGGAAAAAAAAAAAAGGTTCAGTCATTATTCCTGGGGATGTGACCATGGCATTGCAAGTGTTGGATGTCATTTTAAATAAGACTTATGACAATAACTTTTTACAAAATCAATTCACTAAGTGGGTACTTTGTGAAGATTACCTTTGGGGCCAATAAACCAACCTACTCTCCTAATGTTAGGTCAATGGGTACTTGTGGCTTTGGTTAAAATTTTCCATTAATAGCATCATACACAGATTCAAAAAGTACTGTATTTATAACTTAAAATTGAAAATAGTTTACTCTGGAAAAAGGTGCTGATGGTCACATTATTAGTACTTAGTGAATAAATTTATTTTATAAATAAAAATATTATTTTTCCTTAATGTTGCAAGGAAATGTTTACAGTCCTAAGGACCTTCTCAGGAGCTAGTATGTGAAAATCACACTTGAAAAAGAAAACTATTGTTAGCTACCCAGAGGGACCGAGTAGTTGAACCTGTGGGCTTGGGACCATAGTCACAGAGGACATCAAGCTCAATTGGCATAACATACTACACAAAA